GGTGGGGGGAAGGCCGCCCGGAGCGCCCTGAGGACGGGGATCTCCCATTCCAGGACGTCCTTCAGTGGAAGGAGAGCCGCGCCTTTTTCTACTGGCGGCTGCGGCGGCTGCTGTTGGAGGAGGGGGTCAAGGCCGAGATCCTGAGCGCCCACAGCGAGCTCAGCAACAGCCACATGCAGTCCATGATGCGACGCTGGTTCCTGGAGACGGAAGGCGCCGTCAAGGTCTGGGGCTGGGTGGGCGGGGGCCGGCTTCTTCTCCCGGCTCTCCCTGCTTCGCGGCTGAGCGCGGCTCTCTCCTTCGGCCCCTCCTGTAGAGTTACCTGTGGGATAACAACCAGGTGGCCGTGGCATGGCTTGAGAAGCACCTGAGCGAAGAGGACGGGGCCAAGTCGGCCATCCGGGAGAACATCAGATACCTGAAGCGTGATTATGCCCTGAAACACATCCGAAGGTGAGTCCCCTTTCGGGGCGCAGGTGGGCTTCCCCGAGAGGCTCCGCGCGTTGGTCCCTCCGGGGCGTCAGAACTGAACCGTTGGGAGGGGGCCCAGGAACCCCGCGGGCGGAGCTTGGGGAAATCTGAGACCTCGTATTTTCTGCTTGAATGGTGGGAGGGCAGAGGGAGGATGGCCCAGGCCAGCTGCGTTGCGTGGCTATGCAATGCGTAAAGAGGACGCCCTAGGCAAGAGCGTGCTTAAAGGGTGACTGACGGGAGGGGGAGGCCTTGGGCCGCTGGACGCTGCCTGCCCAGGTGACTCCGGTCTCTGGAGGCTGAGATTTCAGTATATTATGTGCTCCTCTTTACGGACCCTCGCACTCCCACGTGGCAGTCTTTGCTTTCTTCTTCAAATAGTCACTGAGCAAAACTCGTGTTTTTGTCTCACAACTTCGCAAGAGGAAAAGGGGTGTTTTATATCAAAACCCCGTCCATTAAAGTCTCTCCCTACGATCCCGCTTCTCTCTTTCAGCTTGATAGAGGCAAACCCGGAGATCGCCATGGACTGTATCATTCACATGACCCAGCACATCACAAGTGCCCAGAGGGCTGAGGTGGTTCGCCTCCTGGCCACTATGGACAGTCCTTCCCCCTCTTGACCTGAGGCACTGGCCGTAGGAGAGACTGCCAGCCCTCTGAGAAGGGAAGGAGGCGGCAGCGGCAAACCACCTCAGTTCCTGAGCTCCGTCCGGCTGCAGCCCCGTTTGTCCTTAGGCCGGCCAGAGTCCCCCAGTTCCCAGGGTCTGCTGTCCTGCCGCCCGTATGTCCCGCAGCCGCCTGTGTGCCCGGCACATAATGTCCAGGGGAAACGCTCAGTCTAGAATGTATGTTTAAAGTAAGCGCGTTTGTGATTCTTGCCCAGGGTTATCCGTTGAGGTAAGGAATCCTCTTTCACAAAACCCCTCAGGACACACTTGTTAAAAACACGTGTTGCAGGGGGGGAAATACCCGTATCGATCACCCAGCCAGTACTTGGGGAAGTCTCTCCATAGGCCAGACAGCACAGCCGCCTGGAAGCATTTGAGAAGGAAGGCGTTTCTGGCTGTCGGCCTCAGGGTCCCCCTTCCTCTCCTGTAGAGGGGCAAAGGAAAGGTTTCGCCACAAGCCGGCTGTTTCTTCAGAAAGAGGGAGGGGTCTCCATCCTCACCCCCAGCTGGCTGAGATGTCAGATAGACCTGATATAAATGGATATAAATTTATTTGTGGAATGAGGGACTTGGCCAGAGGCGAGACAATCAAAACACACTTTTAAAGGGATAAATCGTCAGCCGGTCAAAAGTATGATGGGCTATGAAACATCCAATGCTCAAAACACTTACACACACACACACACACACACAGAGTCTTTCCTGAAGGAGACCTGGGACAAAGGAGGTGATAGCTGAAGGTAATTTACACTGTTCTTGGCAGGCCTCCTAACCTTCCGTGGGAGTGCAATTGTCTCTCTACCTGTGGCATTAACGCTTGAGTGCATCCGGTATGGGACAGGGTTTCTTTTTTCCCCTAAAAAGAAAATAGGGTTATAAACCCCTTTTTCAGGGGAAGAAGATGAAGAGCCACGTAACAAAATCTTGCTTTTTCTCGTTGTTAATAAATCTTGTCTTCTCAGGGAAGGGAGGCCCCCAAAAGCCACTGCAGAGGAGCTCCAAACAGCTGTTGTTGTTTTTAATAAGAGCAACTCTTTGATTTTTTTTATACAGACTTCGACTTTTGTTTTCTCTTTTGTGAGTTGGAGATTCATTAAAGTAATCTTGGTTTTCTTAATGGTCCCAGTTGCTTTTCTTCAGCCTCCCCAACCGCGGAAAGATGCGAAGTGGCTCCCTAGATCGGATATGCCGGTGTGGATGCCGCCGCCGCCATTTAGCCGAGTGTCTCTATCAGTAACGCGTCTTTATTGTCATTTGTTTCCATACAAAGCTGACCGTAGTAAATTATGGGGTGATCAGCTCATCAGCTCACCAGGACTGAAAGAAAGTACATTTTCAAGGGGAAACTTTTTCGTAAGCCATTTCCACTTCCATACCTGCGTTTTGCTTTCCCAGCCGCCTCGGGCATTGCAGTGTCTGTAAGTAGTTCTCAAGTTTGCTTTTTTTCGTCTTTTCAAAGATGCCTCTGGAATATTGGTGTAACAGGTTCCTGAAGGACAGGAACCCTTGGGGGTCATGCGGCCGGAGTCACGCCCTGAGTGCTTTCCTCCAAGTGACCCAAGCTACAAGCCGAGCCGGTGCTCAGGGCCAGCTTTAGGCTAAGGCCCACGTAGGCGCTGGCTTTTCGGGGGGCTGGGGGGGCAACCAGGGCTTAGGGGGCCCCACCACTACCCCTTCTTCCCAAAACAAAGGCGGCTCTAAGAATGCACATCTTCGCCTTGGCAGGAGGTGGCGCCCTCGGATCGCCTGGCCTGCGGGGACCCTTGAGCCAGCCCTGCCTGTGCACATTGGCCTGCAGGGGGGGGAGGGAGGGGCCTGCCTAAGTCAACCTCTATAGATGCCAATGAATCCTAACCTCTTCAGAAGTCGGCAAGACTCTTCCCCCCCCCCATTTTCCCCAGGCAGAGAAAAAGCCGGTGTGGTACAGCCAGTTCCTGATCTCTGGCAAAACGCAAGAGGGGGCTATAGCAGAGCCATCCTGTGACCCTTGTTGTGGGCAAGGGTCTCCGCGGGTGCATCAGGGGAGCTTTGGGGACCCCAGGGAAGGCTGTCCTGTGAGCTGCAACCCCAGCGGTGGAGGGTTCCGGCTCCCTTGGAAGGCCCTGGGCGAGGAGGAGGAAGGCTCTGCTGGAGAGAACAGAACTCACTAAGGTCTCCAGCGCTACCTGCAAGGCGAAGAAACTTTTCTTTGCACCTTGAATTGCATGTGCAATTTTCTTGAACAATATTGTTTGGGCCTCTTTTCTTCCAAATTGAAGTCGATGCAATTCTGAGGCAATAGAAGGAATTATTAAAACCCCACGGTAAAAAGGTGTTTAAAAATAAATATTAGATCAAAGTTAACCTGGTACTGATAAGCCTAAATGCTTAATCAGAAGATCTTAACTGCAATACGCAACGTCTCCCATTAGTGGTCATTTTTAAAACAAAACAGTAAACAAAAATTGCTGCATGATATATTTCTAAGTAAACATTCAGGGCTGAGCTGCAAAAAAACCAAAACATTTTTATGACAGTTGTAGAAAAGCTTCTTGGCTAAAACTAAGTTTGGTCTTTCATAGAAAATGTGACGTCTTCAGTAAGTACAATCCAAAGTGCTTCTTTTGAAAGGGTAGTTTAAAAAACATCCAAAGTATCCTGGTGATTTTTAAAACAGTTTGCTGCAGTTTGAATAATTAAGTAAAAAAATATTAACAGTGTTTTTCAAAAGTCAGTGCTTAGCATAAAAAAAATCCCTTTTTTGTTTCCATAAAAATAAATTATAAATAAAATTTACAAACAGTAATACTGCTTAGCCCGAGAATCAACAAACCTCCTAATCCTAAACTCTAGTATTTTTTTTTTCAAAAATCCGTAGTAACCTCATTAATCCTAATCATCTATTCAAGGTTTAAAAAAATTTCATTTAGTACATTATTTGTCCTGGAACGCAGGCCCTTTTCTGCTCTAGCTATTAAAAACACCCTCTGTGAAACCTTTGCCGTCAAAGCACCGAACCAGGCTACGGGTCTGCAGAATTCAGCTCCTGCGAGGGGAGGCGGACCCCGTCGGTAGGCCTGGCACTAAAGTTCCGTCTCTCGTGCGGAATGTCTGAGACCTGGAAAGGTGATTTTGGGAGGTAGACAATTCAGGGGCGAACCTGAAGGAAAGCGCCGGAAGATCCTCTGCAGGAGGAGCAGCCATCAGCAACCGGAGCTTAAAGGGGCTCGGAATAATTTCGCAGGAGGAGAGAACCAAGTAAGAGCTTCACCAAGGCACAAAGTCAGGAGAATAGTCAAGACCAAGCCCCCCGCGCCCCCCCCCCCAAAAAAGTCCCTGTGAGAGTAGCCAAAGAGAATCTCCCGATGGGACGTTGGGCAACGGGTGCTTTGATTAGCTCAGGGGACATCAGAAGCCTAAAGGACGACTAAGAGCACGCGGGGAGGAGGGTGGATCAAGTGAATTTAAATTTTCCAGCCCCTTTTGATTTAGCCCCCCTTTTTTTTCCCTTGCTGCCCCCTCTCCCCCTCCCCCCTCAAAACAAACCCACAATAAATTAAAATGTTATCCAGGTTCTGAGGAGAAGCAAGCTGCCTGCTTCCTACCAGTCCGGTAACTAAACCAGGTCTGTGTCAAAGCTGCTCGCTCCCCCTGCAGGTTTCTTGGAAGGCGGGCTTCGTTCTGGGAGCAGTCTGCTTTCCTTTAGGACTCTCAGGACCACAGGGGGGTCTGGCAACAGGGGCTGATGGGCTGAAGATGGAGGCGGCCTGGCCTTTGCACAGCCCGCGTGGCCCCCACAAGGCCTGGCCCTCATTTGTGGGGGTGGGGGTGGGGGCTGCGAGTAGGACAAGGCGGCCCGGTCCAAGAGCCGTGGGGCTTTCAGAGCAGAGCAATGGGCTTGTTCCCTTGAGGGCCCCGATACTGTGGGGGGGAGACGGCATCCAGCGTGGCGTAGGTGGTGTAGAGCCCCGTCACCTGTAAGTCTGCAAAGGAGTGGTCGCCGGCGCTGGGGGCAGGGCCCAGGTCGCAGTCGGAGAGCGCCAGGGGGGAGTTGCTGAAGGCCCCCAAGGTCTCCAGGTTGAAGCTGTCGTCCTCCTTCTCCTCCCAGAGGTTCCCTTCCACACAAAGGAAACGGCGGTCAGGGATGGTGCAAATCTACTCGGAGAACCTAGAATAAGGGCGTTTCCCGCTTCCAGGCCCCACTCTTTCCCCCCTGCGGTTTGACTTTCCGGAGAAAAGGAGAAAAATGTGGTCCCCACCCCACCACCCCCAGTAAATAAAGCGGCTTTATGGCCGGTGGCAGGACCTGCCCCTCCGGCTCAGATACTTCAATCGTCCTCCGGACTTCAGCAATTAAGCTCGGACCATATCAGTCCCTGAAGATTTAAGCCTGGCCTCTCCCCCCAGGTCCCCCTAACCAGGTGCACAAGGAAACCATCAGGTTAGTGCCCAGGTATTTTCCTCCACCATCACATGTTCTGGAGCAGCCCTTAAAAAGACCTTCAGGTAGAAAAAGCTCTCTGCGCGGCCCCCGTTTCCTCCTGCAAAGGCAGCTTGAAGATAGGAGGATTCCTGCAGATGAGGAGACCCCCCCACCCCCCCCAGCCCCACTTGACCCAGCGGCCACGTTAGGGAATCCCTCCGGCTTCAGCCTCTCCGGCCCCCTCTCTTACCTTGGAGCGCAAAGTCCATAATGCTGGGGTTGAGGGCATCCACCTCCGTGTTCAGGTCAGTCATCACGCTGAGGAAATCGGGGGCCCGGCTCACCAGGTGCTGAGGGAGGGGGCTGTGGTGGACACTGGGCAGGGCGTGGAGGGGGGGCGTCTGGGCAGGGGCTGGCGAGTCGGGGGCCAAGCACGCCTGCGGCTGGATCTGCCGGTGAAGCCGGACGGACTGCAAGGAGAGCGTCCCCATCGGCTGGGGCTGCACCTGCAGCAGGGGGGCCTGGGCGGCGGCTGCCCCATGGCTGCGCAGGGACCCTTCAGCCTCCGCCAGCTTGCCGGGCCTCCTGCAGCCGGCAGGGCGGTCACTGATCAGCTTGTCCAGCTCCTCTGCAAGGAGAGACGGCCCTCTTAAGTGCCCGGCTGGGCAGGCAGGAGGAAAGGCGGTCACAACACCTATTGGCAGGGCGTTTTTAAAGACAGGCCATGCGGGCGGATTGGGGGCCCTTCGAACGGCACTGAAAAAGGGACTTCTAGCCCTTTTCCACAGTTACGGCCGTTGCCGCATCCCTGTGGTCACGTGGTCAAACGGAGACGCTTGGCAACCGACTCGTGTGTATGACCCCGGAGTCGCTGACTCCCCTTTTGTGACCCTTCTGGCAAGTAAAATCAAGTGGGAGCCAAATTCCCCAAGGTCGTATAATGAGGCAAAGCCCCCCTAACAAATGTCTCACTTAGCCACAGAAAACCGTGTTGCTCAGTTGTGGCTGTAAGTCGAGGACTAGCTGCCCTTCCCCCGTTTCCAGACGGCCAAGGAAGCCCTGAGGAAAAGGAGGGCCGGCCGCCTGGTTTCCCTTCCGGCCAGACAACTCCGGCCGGGCGAGGAAGGAAGGGGAGCGCCGCCCTCACCTGGGTTTGCCATGCTCCTGTGGATGGCGGCCAGGTCTTTCCGCTTCCACTTCTGCATCTCCTCCTCCATCTTGTCTATCTTGGCCGGGTTGAGGGCCCAGAGGCAGCCCTTCCGCGAGGAGCTGCTGGCCTTGTTCTCCACTTTCTCGAAGCACTTGTTCAGCGACAGGTTGTGCCGCACGGAGTTCTTCCAGCCGTCAGGGGCTGTCTGTGGAAAGCAGGTGAGCCTTCCCACGCGGCCCCAGGTGGGGGGGGGGGCGGGCTTGGATGTGCTTCCCGACTCCCACCACCAGGCGTTCCCCTCTGCTCGGCTGTGTCCTGTGGCCCCCAGAGACCCTCATCACCCTCCCCCCACCACCCGGGATCTCAGTGGGAAGGCCCTGCGTGCCTGGCCTGCCAGGGAATCCTAAGGGGAGGCCGGTCTGTCTGTGGGGTCCTGTCTGCATTTCTGCAGGGAGCCCCGAGTCTGGGTGTCTGCCTGGGGAAAGGGGCCCTGAAAGGCAGGTCGTGAGAAAGCGGAGGTTCCCATGAGCTGGGACTCCCTCCGAGCTTGGTCGGGGGAGACCTTCCCCAGTGGGGTCCTTTGGCAGCCAACACTCTCCTGCACCCACATCCCTCTGCCTCCACCGCGGGCCAGGGAAGGGCCCGCTCTCTTGCCCCCCCCCATACCCCCCCCCCGGGCTCAGCCTCCCTCACCTTGAAGTAGGGGAAGTGCTCCTTCATGAAGCCGTAGATCTCGCTCACGGGGAGGCTGCCCGTCCGGCTGTTCTTCAGGGCCATGGCGATCAGGCAGCTGCCGGAGGGACGGGAGAGGGTCGGTGGCCCAGCCGCCTGCAGGGTTCCTGGACCCCGGCTCCTCCCGTGGGAGGCCCCTCCCGATAAAGGGGGGCTCCCCTCCCTGGGCCCTGACTCACCTGTAGGAGTAGATGGGCTTGGGGTAGTGCTTGGGGTGCAGCTCGGGGGCTGCATGAGGAGCCAGGCGGGGCTGAGAGAAGGAGGGGTGGGCGCCGTAGGAGGAGGTGCTGTAGATGGTCACCGGGTTGCACTGTGGCTGAAGCGAGAGGGAGAAGACCGAGTGACCCCGCCCTGCGAACGCTGCTGGGAGCGCCCCCGTGCCTCCCCCCACCAAGGCAGCCACCGGCAAGGGGCTTGGGAATCCCCACACGTGATTCTAGTCTCCTCTAGGCTAAATGGACGGGAGGGGTCTTCTTGCCTCTGGCGGCTGGGGAGGGGGGAGGGTCCACCTGCCCAGCCTGCAGTGGGCTCTGGTTCGCTTAACTGGGAGGCGTCTGCCTCCTTTTCTGCTGCGCCAGGAGAGGGAGAAACAGGCCAGCGGCTGTGGCGAGGAGACCCATCATCCTCAGCCAGCGGACAGTAGCCCAAACCAAAGCTCTGAGGCCTGGGTGGAAACCAACACGGCGGCTCGGCGTTCTCCGCGCTGGTGCAGAGACTAACAAAGGGAACACCTGCCCCGAGAACGGCCTTACGGCGCCCACTCCACCCTTTTCGGCCGGAGGCTCCCTTCACCTTTGGCCCACAGATTAAACGCTTTGCGTTGCGCTGCCTGGGTGTTCTCAAGTGTGTGCAACAAGCACACGCGCGCAGCTGAACCTACGGCCGTGTAGACGTTAACACAGGACAGCAACTAAGTTGAGGCCTGTTTCCCTGAAGTTGGGCTGCGCCCCCCGCCCAAAGCCTGAATCCGTCGTACCTGCTGCGTGCTGTGCGTGATGGTGAAGATCTGCTGGCCAGAGGGAGGCGGGAAGAGCGGGGACGGCTGCCCCCCCACCAGGTACTGGCTGATCTGGGGTGGAAGGGAGGGGAAGAAAAGCGTCAGATGCGCAGGGCACGACCCCCCCCGCCCCCCCCAGCCGTTAAAGAGGGAGGGAGCCTGTTCTTACGTCACTTTCGTGGGGCGAGATGGTGTGAAGTCCCAGAATGTTTGGAGACACGCTGGCTTGTATGTGAGCCGTAGCTCTTGGGGGCCCCGAGGTGTGAATGGCACCTGTCATCGAAAAGCAGTGAATGGAGACGCTTCTTCCAGGCTGCTCTGAATCCCCCCCCCCCGCAGCTCCCTGTGGGGTCCACAGGCCCGCCTAGCTGCTGATCATCGTAACGGGGCTTATTGAACTCAAGTCCATGCTGGTTTTACACCGTCCATGTGCTCTTTGTGTTTTTAGAACAGCCGCTAGGCATCACAGCCCTGTGGAATCAACGCAACGGAGGCCCAAGAACGAAAGGGCCACCGAGTTTTCTACCTGTCTGCTGCAGGACCACGTTCTGGGACGCGAGGCCAAAATCCATTCTTTCGCTGGTCATCTGCTGCAGCCGAGGGACGTCCACGGAGGTCAGCCACGAAAGGGACTGCAAGTCGCCGGGGAAGTCATCTTCGCTCAGATGGGAGGGGTCAGAGCCCAACAGCCTATGCAGGAATAATGGAGGTTTGGTGGCCTGCTAGCCTAAAGGTAAGGCCGCACCTGTTCTGACCACGGTTTTTATTCCAGTGGCCCGCAGGCTCCGTTCTATAGGGCTCTCGTGCGTAGGAAAGAAAGCAAAGACGTGAAGAAGGAGAAACATTTTCCTATCGTGCGGAGGAAGATAATACTTAGGGGCCAAAAATGAAGGGCCTAAGAGCACCAAATTCGGCTTGAGAATAAACTTTTTGCAGATCGTTTTCTAAAACTCCTGTTTCTGCTCCACCAAAGTCAAGTTAACTCAAGGTTCACGTGGCCCTCGGAGCCTGCTGGAGTTGCACAACACAGCAATGCCAGAAATAAATAATTTAAAATAGCGAGAAGGGTTTAAAATAACCTGGAATAATACAGTGCCTTCTCTTCATTTTCCAAGGCTTTGAAATGCTCTCTGCAACTGTCCAGCAAAGCAAAGCTTCCCAGCTGAAAGCTCCTGGGCGGTTTCCCTGCCTTCCTGGGGGCTTAAGGGGCCACAAGCCGATCGCTGTTACAACAGCAGGCGCCTGGTATCCTGGCTAGGCCCGCCTGTCCTCCTGCCAGCCTCCTCCGGGGCCTGTTTTCTTTTTAATGCCATGTGTTGATGTGGCAATAACCAACATTGCCATGGTTACACTTCTACAGTTATTTTGCAGAGCCAGTCGAGTCCCTTCCATGCCTGCAAAAGGACATCAGGTGACCAGTCTCCCCACCCAGCCATTGGCCCAACTGTAAGTAAACACCGGCATCAGATGGTTCAAAAGCGAGGAGCCACCCTTGTCATTCGCAACAGTTGGTGGCCCTGCGCATTGTCAGCCCAAAGGCCATTGTGTGGGGAGAGGCTGTTGGCTGCCGGCACGTGGCGCCCCTTTGTTTTGGGAGATCCTGGCTTAATGGTTTCCTTCTGCCCACCGTGCCTCCCTCCCCCTTTTTACCAGTTCCCCATTAATCTGCCTGAGTGACGGGAGACACTCCGCCCAGGCCATCTGCCACTCTCCAGCCCCACACAACAAACAAGCGGGGTCCGTGGCCTCCTTCCAGGACCCCTTGCACACCGCAGGCCCCCACTGTCCGGTGGGCTTCGGCCCCTTCCTGGGTGGAAATGCTCCGTGGGAGCTGAAATGCACCCGGAAGCTTCGGTCCCCGTTTAATTGCCTGGCTGCAGCTTCAAGAGGTTGCTGTCAGTGTTGCTGTCACCACTCCACTGGGCATCTGGTATGTGGCAAAAAGAGAGAGAAAGAGAGAATCCACACCCTTTCCCCTAGCGAATGCCCGGGTGTCTCCGAGGAATGGGCGCCGGTCCCTGGGCCACCACCTCTTCCACAAACCGGCACCCTTGTGGAGTTAGCTGGAGGTAGGAAAATGTAACTCTGGAAAACAAATATTCCTCTCCTTTAAAAACTTCCCTGCTAACTTTCTCCTTTAAAATGGCCCCTGATTACTTCCCTGAATTCTTCGGTATGCGTAGGAAAGGATTGGGCTGTGGAGCAGCTCGCCTTCTTAATGCTGCCCTTGAGAAAATAATCCCATTTTGAGTAGGGCTGTTCCCAAGAATTTCCGCAGATTCTTTCCCGACAGAGCAATAGCCGTCTCTCCTGACGCTCCTTTAAATCAATTGTGGGTCTGATTAGCAGACTTTAGCAGATTTCCCCGTAGAATTATAGAAAGGGAATGGGTGGGTTATTTCTCCCCCTGGGAGATTTCTCTCTCTGATTATTTGCCCCAAGAGGTTTGGGACCGTTTGCCTGCCTGTTGACAGCCGATCCCTGCCTCTTCATTTGGCCCTGCTAAGGAAGCCCTCCCGAGGGAGGGCAGGGGGTCTGCAGAGGAGCCTGCTTGCCAGGCCCATCAGTTGGGCCAGAGTGCTGGTGGGGCGGTTTCTGAACTTCAGAAGAAGGGTCACTTTAGCTGCACACACACACACACACACACACTCCCTGCCTTTGGGGGGATGAGAGCACCCCGTTTTAAGGAATGCATTTTTAAATCTAAAATGCTTTTATTCTCCATTCGCCCTCCTCCACACTCCAGTTAGTTGCACAGAGCCCTTTCCTCTCTTTTCCTGAGAAGCGGTAGAGGAAGAAGGATTGCGTTCAGTCGCAGCTGACTTTTCCATGGGCAGATAACGGTGCTGTGCTTTTGGCTGGGCCGAAGGACCTTCTCAAGCCCCAAGCCCTCCAGAGCAGCCTCCTCCTCTGCGCTGAGCTGAATCGCGCTCCTCAAGGCAGGCCAGCGTAGCCTCTCCGGCCATGGAGGGATCCTGGGCTCCGATCCTTTTGAGGGTCCCGCCATCTCCTCCCCTGGCAGCCCTCTCTTCACGGAGATTATCCCCAGGCAGGACTTCTATTTGCTGGGACTCCCTAGAACCTCAGAGGCTCTTTGCTCCCTCACCTTCCCACGTTTCCGATTTGTCACATTGTGGTCAAGAGAGATCTCAAACTCAAGAGAGTCTCCTCAAATCCTCCAGGAACCTCCTGTGGGCTGCATCGGGCCCTAGCAAAATCAGGTTCACACACACACAGAAAAGCACCAGCATGGATCCTCAGCCCGTTGGATAACATGCAGAAAGGGGGGGAAATGCGGCAGGCCTACCCTTAGGAGGAAGAAAGCAAAGGGTTGCTAAAATTTAAGCGAGCAATGTAAGGGAAATTTAACGAAGAGCTCTGCCTCTGGCCATAAACGAGAGAAGAAGTGTTTGCTTCCACCTCAGTTTCACTTGGATCCAGAAGGATCCTAACATCTCTCCGTAGAAAGTTGCCAATTCTGCAGCCTCCTGACTCTGATCTTAGTCTGCCGTGGCCAAGGAGTGTTTTTTAACCCTGACTTTGAAATCCGCTTCCCTTCGTGTCTGCCAGCCCCCCAGAAATCTTCCAAGGGAAACAGAAGTTTATTCTCAGCACAATTACCCCTCCCTCCCGCTAATTGGGGGCCGTTCCTTCACGGGGGCCCCCCCCTCCCGTGGAGCACTCAGGGCCTCGGGTTCCCCTCCTGCGCTGTGGTGACAGGAAGAAAGTAAATTGACCTGATAGAATTTGACAGGTCTATTCTCTTCTTCAAAATCGGTCAGTCTGGAAGGTTTTCTTTTACATAATCCAAAGTGGTTTCTCATGAAACAGAACAAATGCTACAGCGATAACGGCCTGGATTTCGTATATATTTTTGCCACTTTTAAACGGGGGTCATGCAATGACCACAGTGATAAATTACAGCTTTAGTTTTGAGACGGGGGAAGGAACAAGAAGAATTTGGGGCACGGGTCTGTTCGTAGAAATAAGCATTTTTGTAATAAGGTGACTTGTTAAAGGCTGCCCGAAACTCTATGTAAACTTAAAAGTTATAAGCGTCAATCTTTTTACTTAGAAATAACCTGGACTTGATCTGCCAAAGGACTGCGTATTTGATTTAAGCAGGTATTCACGTTTCTTATGCTAAGAATTGAAGATTCTTGCCCACAATATTTTCAAATTTGATTTATTCTCCCAAAAGCTACTCTTACCAAATTTGGCAAGTACAGATAATTAACAACCTGAACTTAGCAATGGGATTTCTGTACAGAAGGGCAGAAATGGTTACGGGCAGCCGGCATGAGTTCACCATGGAAGACCTCTTAGCGTAATGGTGGATACCGGTGCCACAACCACTTGGGGGGCTTGGTCCTCTTGCGATGGGGGTCTTGGGTCTGCAGGCCCTAGATCCTTCTTGTTCCCCGGCATCTACCAGAGCAGCTTCAAAATTGGGCCAGGCTGGAGTTAATTCTCTCCCCGCTGCACTGTGTCAGTGTGATCTGTTGTTTTTGGAGGAGGGGAAAGACTGTGACATTCGGACAATGCTTCTCCCAATCTAGTGTGGCCTCCTTATCCATATTTGCAAGACAGAAAAGCCACAAGCGGAAGAAGGCTTTTTTGAAAAATGAAAGGAATATCTCTAAAGCCACCCTGGAGCCAAGCAGGTCAAACCGGAGGTTCCCCAGAGGGATTTTTCCCCCGGATTTGCCCCTCCAGCCACCCAGCTCATGCCCGATAGGGAAGAATGCGGCTTTTCAGGCATCCCATGGATCTTAAACTGTGGAAGGTTTTGTAAAGAACGGCCCGAGCGGAACTCAGATCAGACGGGCATCCAGGGACTTCATCGTGCAAGAAGACCAGACGCAAGATTGCCAAGGAGGAAAGTGGCCGTTGGAACCACCTGTTGCAACCAAGACAGCCTTCAAGGTCAACCCCAAGTATGCAGTAGTCTAAAAAGGTGAAGGATCATGGTGACCCAGCACACCAGGTCCAAGCAGAACAAAGGGGATCATGGCCCAAGTAGTGCCCCCCCTCTCCTAAACCAGCCTTGGACTTCCCAGGGGGTAGAACTGTGTTCAAATCAGGCTGGACTTCCAGGCTCGGGGAGAGTCAGCAGCAGCCCAACCTCCCCAGGAGCACAGGACCTCCCCCTTCTGGAGGGGAGGGGGCAGACCCCACCGTGTCCCTCAACTGCCAAGCCTGGATCCCCAGAGGGAGACCCGGCATGGCTCCCCACCCCTCCCCCACCCCGTGGCTGCCGATAGTGGCTTCCCACCCGACCCCACCCCCAATGGAACTGGGTTCAGAAAGGGGGGGCTCTGGGGCCCATTTTCCAGGGGATGGGAATCTGGCAAGAAAAGGACGGTTCCCGGGGCCCCGAGGGCCACCTCTGAAAAGGGCTGGACGGGGCCGGGTGCTCCGGCGGAGGAGGCGCTGCTCCTTCCCTGAGCACCTCCGCAAACGCTCCAGGAGGCCCCACGCAGCGCTGGCGGGGGCGCATTTCCTGCGGCGACTCACTTTGAATGCAAAATAGACTTTCCGAGGAAATCGGGGCTCGGAGCCCAAAAAGTTGGGTTTAGGAGAGGCGGGGACCCCGCTTCTCCTGCCGCCACAAGGAAACGGGGCGCCGGGGCAGGCCCGCCTTAGCGGCAGAGACCGGGGACGTTGCCTGCGCGAAGGTTGCGCTCGAGGGGCGCCTCGGCCAGGCCCCGAAGGCGGGCCGGACTCCAGGGGCGAAAGCCTCCGGGCGAGAACGGGGGGGCAGCGGGGCGGGCAGCGCTCACCTGTAGTCCTGCGGGGGGGGCCGCCGGCGGGCCGGTCCCGGGTTCCTGACGAGGCCGGACATGGCGAAGGCGGGGTCGCTTTCGATCATGGCCTGCCGGGGAGAGAACGCCGGGTAGCTATCCAGCACTTCAGCAGGGAAGGCGGGGAGGCGCCGGGCAGGGGCCCCCGGGTGGAAAGCGGCGCCCGCCTCCCCCGGCCTGCCGGGGCGCAAGAGGGGCGGACGGGGGGGGGGGGGCGGCGGGGCCGGTACCTCCGAGGCCGAGCGGGGGGCGGGGGGCTCCTCTGCCTGCCTGCCTTGCTCCTCTCCCGGGACTGGCCCGGCGGCGAGGGCCGTCAGCGGGCCCGGAGCAGCGCAGGGGAGGCAGCTGGCGGGGCGGCCGGCCGGCCGAGCAGCGTTTTTAAATTTCCCTCGCCGGAGCTGTCCAGCTGGAGCATGCGCGCCCAGGGCCCGAGGGGAGGGGGAGCGGCCGACCCCTCCTCTGCTCGAAGGCGGGAGGGCGGGGGGCGGGCAGCGCGCGGGGCGGGCTGGCAAAGGCGCGGCGGGAGGCGGCGGGCGCAGACCCCGACTCCTCATTGAGGACTAGCCGCCTGCGAGGTCTGCGAGGCCCGCCTTCCTTCCCGCCTTGGCCGCCCGGCGTCTCGCCCGCCCCAGACGGCGGGAAGGGGCCCGCCAGCCGCCGCCTCGCCCCGGCCGGGCCTTCCTCCGGGGGGCGCTCTCTGGCCGGGAGTTTTTTCCCAAGGGAGCCCTCCCCCACCCCTTCCCAACCGCCTTCCCCAGTCTCTCAGGCCGCGAGGGCTGGCTGGGGATGCTGGGGGATGTGGTCCCTCCAGTCCCCTCCCCTGCGGGACTCTCGGCCGGGAAGGACCCCCCCCCCTGGCTTTTCCTCTGGGGGGGGTGTGGATGTGTGGCTGAGGGTTACCTGTCCCCTCCTTCTAGACAGAGCGCTCCCTGCTCCTGAGTGACCTTCACCCTGCAACGCCTGCTGAACCCCGGCCTGGTCCCCCAGTCTGCCTCTCCCAGGCCATGAAAGTGGAGCCCCCCCTCCCCCTCCCCAATGGGCACTGCGCAGGGATGTGGGCCTCCCCTCTGGCTGAGGATGTGGGCCCAGCGCTTGCCCTGCCCTGCCGAGTCAGGCCCAGCCCTCCCTCCGATGGTGTCCCTTTCCAAGGCAGAGAAACCTCTTGGTAGTTTAGGAGGAAAGGATGAGAACTCGTCCTTCTGTGTCTCTTCGGATGGAATTCTGCGTGTTACTGAGTGGGAAGGGTGTAAAAAAGAGAGAAAGACTGGCAGGAAAGAAAATTAATGCGGAGAAGAAAAAGAGCCCGTGTCAGCATCGCTTGACAGGCTGCAAAAACAATTGTGAGGAGACACAAAACAAGTATTCTTGAAGTAATACGGTGTTTAAATTCACCTCTCCTTAGAATTTGCAAGGTCCATTTCATCTACCTTTATAAAACAAACAAACCGCGTTGATGTTCTTAAGCCCTCTTTGTGTCTCTTGTAGGCAGGTTTCTAAACTGAAATAGATACGGTCATTTCAGTTTTCTAAAACTAAAACTGGCTTCTCCCCCTGGCGCATGAAAAACGTGTGTCAGTAACACTTTTTATCTGTGTAACAAATAGTAGTTAAAATCATTACATGTGAAATTACCAATTAATCCCACGGGGGCAAGGCCTTTGGTAGAAGCCTATCCACTTGGGACCGTACAGATGGTGAATTGGAGTTTTACAATGGTCCCAACCTCCGATTAAATGCAGAGATGTAACGGACAAAAAGGCCTTCCTCAAAATTTGGCTAGAGAATAAAATAGCAGGTCCTAGTGCCCAACAAGTTCAGCATAGCACAGTCTTTAAAACTTTATTCTTGTACTTCAGTGGATCCGTGAGCAAAGTTTATTCTTGGGTTTGCTGTAGGAAATCGTTTTTGCACGAACATTGCACAGCCTGAAAGAAATATATGCAGCAAAGTTCTCTAGAAAGCAGAGTATAAGGCAGAAAGCTGACACGAAATTCCCTGTGAAAACTGCTTTTCTGCTGTTTTGCTACTGCTCTCTGTTGCTCCTGATCAAACTTCACATTAAATCTTCAGATAACTTTTAGTGTCCCCACCCAAGGGGTCCGTCGCAGAACCTGGCAGGAGCCCCTCTCCCCCAGCCTCCAGGCACAACTGGAACCAGGGTTTGATTCAAAGCTGAGCAAGGAAGGGCTGTTTTTGGTTCTAACAGTACAGACACCTGTGATACAGGTAGGCTTCCAAATACTTTGGTGCTCCCTGCCCCCATTTATTTTTAATTTCAGAAAAAAATATTTTAAATAATGGCTGGTCGTTGGGGGTAGAGATACCCACTTTCTGTGGGATGGCCTGAGACCTGGTTTAGTATTAGCAATTAAATCCTTTTTGTGTATTTAAACCCCCCATTCATATTTTCTGTTTCTAGATTTTATATCATCTGGGCAGAATCATTGATGCTTCTTTTGGGCAGAATTACAGAGACTGCCAAAATTAAAAGATGTTAATTATTATTTTTAGCGCTAGGCCTCATAATTCTTTCTTACTTTAATAGGACAGATCTACCCATGGCCTGGAGATGCATTTACCATCATGTTTAATTTCAGTTTTGACATGGCTTGGAAATGCCATTAAACCATTTTTTCTGCCCTTCCTTGGCCAGAAACTGATAATTTCAAATAACGAGTAGAAAGCAGTCTGGTCCCTTTTATTTTTCTTCCCCTACTCAAGGGCCATGCTCCACAATTTAAAACCAATATTTCCCAAAGCACTTCATGGATTTGGGGAAAGGTCAATTAACTTCTGTTTCCTCTGAGCAACCCTGGAAAGAACGGGCAGCAGTGTGTCCAGAGCTATTTGTCCAGTGACCTTCAAGGGCAGGAAGTTCACAAGTGCAACTAACAATGTCATCTCAAATTTGTTCCTGGGTTGGTGTATCGCAAGAGAAGGGACAATGGTTGTGCAGCCTCTCCTCCTTCCGCAATACTCCGGTTCCAAGCTCATCACCGAGAGATCTTATTCATTATTTATTAAGCAAATCTATATGGGCACCCAACTCACACATAGGTGACTTTAGGTGGCTTGCAACGTTAAAAATCCACAACGTTAAAACCCCCTGTTCTCCCCTCCTCCCCATGGCAGCAGCAACACCGTCAAATCAACCACCTGATGGGCTTTATTTTCTCAGGCCCGCTGGCAAAACCACGTCTTCAGGGCCTTTTCGGAAAAAAAGAAGATGGGGGCCAATCTTCCCCCAGGGCAAATGATGTCTGATAGAGAAGGAGCCACCACAAAAAAGGCCCTTTTTCGGGGTCCCGCCAGGTTTCATCCCTAGCAGGTTCCTTCCTACTTCATTAAGTGTGCGCCACGGAGTCGCAAGACCCAAAGAAACGTGCGTATCTTCCACGTGCCTTTTTCCTTTCCTCTCCCTTTGCAGAATCCGTACTGTTGTGGTGACACAATAGGAAATTCAAAAGCTGCACACTGAGATTGGTTTCCCGCACAAAGACTGAAGCGGAGTGTATTTTTTAGGGGGATCTAAGAGACGGTGGCCATCATGTTTATTTCTTGAAGTGACAGCTCTGGACTGGAGTTTCAAATATTCTCTTGTTTCTTTATTATTCTGTAAATCAATTTCTAAAGGAACCAGGGTTGGTTTCTGTTAAAATTACAACTGGATAGGGAAAAATATAGTTGCCACAATTCCTTAAATGATATAACTGGACAGAGGTGGACACATAAAGTATTTTCCTCCAGCTTCGTCAAGTAGGTCTAGTTTATCCTTTGAACAGAAGGAATGAATTGAGGAATGTCTGCAGAGAAAGTGCAGTTAGAAGCAAAGGGGGGGGGGGAAGGGGGGGTGATGTTATTCTTGGTTTTTTATTTGATTTACTTCCTCCTTCCGTCTTTAATAACCGAGTCCCTTAAGCTTGGGTGACCCAGGTTTTGTTGCCAGAGCTGTGCCACTGAATGCTACTGACCCCAGCCGAGACCCCAGCCCCAGTTCCCCACCAGACAAAGATGGAGCTGTGCGAGGACCAGTCAGCCTCCATTATAGCCGAGAGAGCCTAGCAGGAAGAGACAGGCTTCATTATTTTTAATTGGGCTCTACAGTTAAATAATACAAAATGGCCACAATCGTCTGGGAAGTTATATTGTGGAAGGCCATTGAATTAATGGAAGCTGGGCCCGGCGGAGGAGCTCCTCTCCAGCCCAGTGTTGGTTGTTTATTGATCCTGGTGTTGAAACATAAGAGCAGCTCCCGGGGTGGGGGGGGGCGGGGGGGGTAGACATCCACAGTTAACAGTTGTGTTGCATCATCCGTCAGCAAAACCAAATGCTATCCAAACACTGGCAAATCATGCCCGTTAAATCCCATTTCTTCTTATTCCTGCATTTCTTCTTCTATTGGCTGCTCCAGATCTGGATTCACCCTGTCTGGCCTGGAGTCCCCTAAACTAGAAGCTGACCGCTGAAGAACTCCAGGCAGGGGTTCCCATTTCGGCCTTCGGTTGCGGTGAGTCCAAGGCACTTGCTTCCCGGGACCAGTCCTGGCCCTGAAGGTTGGGCAGTCTGCAAAGGGCATCCCCGCTCCTCCTAAAGGAAGGTTGGAGGTCCCTCAGCCCCAGCGAGGCCTAAATTTTAGGCCTAAATCGCTCACTTTTGTTCCCCCGCCCCAAGACGACCGAGGCAGCTGGGGATGAGTAGGGCCTGGGTGGTTCAGACGTCCGCTGAGCCTGGGGCTGCTGCCCGGTTTAAGTCGGCAGACTGGAGAGGTGGAACCGACAGGCCTCACCTCTGCTGTGAAATTGGAAGCAGTTGTGAAACTCCTTCAGGTAGGCAGGGCTGTGGCACGCCAGGAGCCTCGCCGAGATCCCTCCGTGTCATCAGCTTCGGTAAGTAGGGATTTATTTATTTTTAAAGAAGTCTTCCATGCAGAGGTCATAAATTCAGCTTAATTCCTTTGCACGGAGGCCCTGTTAAAATGAGGTCCAAAAGTGCATGTCCCACACTGCAAGGCCAGGGTACAAACTCAGCACGTCTTCTGCACAGTCGCTCCCAAATGCGAAGGGTGTTT